CCCCCCCCCCCCCCCCCCCGTTTTATACGAGCCGACCATTCAAGCGTCCCAGGTTACCCCCTTTTTACGGCAAAAACATGTGGTAAACCAACGGCGTCCCTCAACTTAATGTTCTTGAGCCATTTTCCCCTCCTAAAAATAAGTAAAAGATGGGCCAGTATCGAGCTTTTTTTTTAAGCATATTCAGACGAGGGGCTTATTCTAATTACGCATTTTAGTCCAATCGCAAAATCAAATTATATTCATTACAGTACAGTCAAACGATCCAACTTTGAAATTTTGTTGTACTTCTCAAAGTTTTTCCTTGAATTGCATGTTCGAATAAAATTTTATATTTAGAAAACCTCACAGTCAAAATAAGTCACAGATATCTTCAAAATTGGGTGGAAATTAAAGAGAAAAAAGTTCCTTACAGCCCTTCGATTTTTCATCCCCAAACGTCTTATTCCCATGCATGTTATGGTCCTCTTTCAAATTACGCAATGACACGAATATGTTCTACGAACTCAGATCATTTTTTTTGGGTACACGATTATTATTCAATTGTATTCTGCTTAATTCATGGCGTTCTTGCTATTTTGGGGAATGGCAAAAAAATTAAATTACGTGGCGTAAACGTGTGTTTTGCTGATTTGATTGATCATCGAGGAGATGAGGGCAAGGTAATTGCCCCTGTCAATTCAAAATGGGGGAACTGCTCGCAAAAGCTATGAAATGTATTTCGCCGGATTAAAATCGGATATTTTATATGACGAAGATGTCATTAGTTTTGGAGTGTCAATCACTACTGTCACGACGGATACGATTCAAGAATACATTTGTGAAATGATTAAACAATCGAACGAGACCGCGAACGAAATCATTCAGCAAAATGACGATTAATCGTTTTGCGAAAAAAAAGCGGGAATGGTTCTTGATGGGCGATAAAGCTGTTCATCCTTCTTAATCGCTTCAATCGTTTTATGATTTCTTGAGCATAAATCAAAAGTGAAATCCAAAGCCATTCAAACCAAAAAAACAAATCTTTTATAGGAATCGACTCGAATTCTTCGTGCTGTTGAATTTCTCCGAGTACGTGGAAAACCCCAAAAAAAGTTTGCACATCAAGTCATGGTGTTTTCTTTTTGTATAGAAACAAAATAATAAATAAAATATAATTCCTTATGTTCCATGATGGACGATATCTTGGCATTTTTTTCCGAAAAGCAAATAAACTTTTCTGTCTGGTCGAGCGTGTGCCAGTTGAATTCTGCGGTTTTTCGTTCGTTGAAATACTTTTCCACGAAGTTCGTTCCCAGAATGAGCGCGATAACTTTTTTTTTTGTGATATGCCTGAAGAAAATTCCCACTGATCCCGGGCCAATTTTTTTTTTACCATTATTGAAAAACCAAGAAAGGTAGAAATCTGTGAGCCGGGAAAACAAACACAAATTCCACGAATATAAAAATTGTTTTTCGAATAAAGCACGGAAAGCAACGACGGCGCAGCGTTGCTTTGGAATGACGAACATTGCGAAACGAAAACAAATATTCCGGTGGGGGAGCAAATAATACTGGACGAACTTTTCTCACAACTCAAAAAGCCTTTCGTTTTTTTTCGTTGTTTCTCTCCAAGCATAGTTTTTTCTTCTTATATTTTCAGGGACCGTCAGAAAACTGTTACTCATGCCACAGAACACTTTAAGATGCAAATTTTGATGATTTATCCAGAAGAGGTTTTGAGACATATAATTAGGGTTGTTTTCGTTGGTGATCAATTCCTAATTAATAATTCTTCCTCGGAAAAGAAATCCGCATTGAAAGCGGTAAAACTTTGCTCGTTAGACAGGGTTTGTTACGAACACTTTCACTCATGAGATTTCATTCACAAACTTGCTGACATCTTTGCTGAATATGAAACGAAAATGGAAAAATAATAAAAACATGCTACTGTATTAATAAACTGCTCTTGGTTCGAAAAACGTACGCGAACGTGATTTTGTTTATACATGAACTGATCTAATTGTATGCGTGCTTGTTTTGCTGCCTTTGAAATGTTCTGTGAAAATAAATTTATAAGTGATTTTTTGGCCAAGTTATGTAAATAACTCCTTTTCAAACAGACTCTTCAAAAAGTGACTAGAGACGTATTTCCATAAATAAGAAAATGGGTCGTCCTTGAGAATCGAAAGACGAATTTAGGCCATTTAAATCATCTACGATCAACCTCTTTAAAAAAGAAAGTGGATTTCTTCTCATTGTCACAGTATTTTAAAATAATTCTCAAGAAAATTTCAGTTACTTCTTACTGATTCTAAACACGTTTCAGGCAATTTGCTCAAGTTTCCCAAGTACGAATAAACAGTTTGTCTTCGGGGCGAAAATTAAAGAAGAAAAAAACTCGTTGGTTCGAAACGCGGGCGACTCATTATAATTCTTCAAACCCTGCTTCAGCCGCCTTCGCGACTTCAGAGGCAACAACTTCCTCCTTCCTGCGTCGGAAGGTTGTAAAATCATATAAAAAGATGCAGAGAAAAATATGCAACAAGGGAAATAAGAGGTCGAAAGGAAAGAAAGAAAAAAAAAAGAAAGAAGAAATCAGATTCTTTGGATGGTGGCGGGGGAGCAGATGCGGTCGTGTCGGTGGTTCAGGTGGCGGTTATTTGATGGTGCGTGGGCGCGAGGGTGGTGGCGCTGGGCGGCGAGGGCTCGGCCTTGATGATCGTCGTCGGGCCGTTGAGGTCCGAATTGGGCGTCCCCGACGACGACACGTTGTTGCTGTCGCTGGACGGCGAGCCGGCGCCGGAGCTTTGAGCCGCCCCCGGGCTGCCGGCTCCGCCGCCGCCGCCGCCACCACCGCCGCTCTCGGGCGACACCAAGCCCTCCTTCATGCGCTTTTTCTGCTTCATCCGTCGGTTCTGGAACCAGATTTTCACCTAGAAACACAGGCAAAAAAAAAAAGAAAAGCGCAAATGTAAAATTCTGACTCGAACCACTCGTTCATATTCGGATGTGTGTTTCCTAATTAAATCTATATTCAAAAAAAAAATCAGAAGAAATAAACACGCATCTTCCTTCCAGAACAATTTGCTCATAATTTAAAAAAAATCGAAGCTTGGGATATCCTCAAAATAAAAGTACTGTATAAATCATCCAGCAGCAACACGCTTTAATACATTGAAAGAACGCACTTGTGACAAGGAAGCAATTACTGCGTGGGATAATTAAATATCAGTCGATCGCACTTTTACAGCTTCAATCGTCCTTCAATATACCGTTAATTTTCTGCGGAATAATTTCAGTAATTGCCTTCACACGATACACGGGAATCGCATGATCCATCAGCTTTTACGAGAACGCTTACATCCAGTTTCCACCATATATCCGCACACGGATGAGCAAAAAAAATAATAAAAAATCCAGTATTTCATTTGGAAAATGATGACCATCCTTGCGAAGGAATTATTCAACGGAATCCGATCAATCAAGGTAAGTAGATAGTGCTTGCAGCCAGCAATCGGTTCGCTAATCATCAATTTTTTCGTATTGATCAATCAATTTATCCGCGCGCTTTTCCGAGACACGGCCAGAAGACGAAAGGGGATAACTAATATTTTTTCTATCGACGTTTTACTACAATTTAACTCTGAATAAACAGGCACTTAATGATATATTTTGTTTGAACTTTTAGAACGCAAGGAACAATATGAAGCTTTGGATCGCATGATTTGCTAAAAACTCTCCTTCGCGTTTCTTCTCAAGTGTCAATTGCGCAATGTCAGAATTAAATGATCAAATGGCACATGTGTGGTTAAAAAATGATTGCTAATTTACTTCACTTAATTCCATGCTGAAAAAAAATTGATTCATTTACAAAATGAATGTTGATACGGGATATACATATATCGTATTACAGGTGAACCTCGATAAGTCGAACCTCTGTAAGTCGAAATTTTTTCAAGTCCCTGTCCAAATTCCCTTAAAATCAATACATTAAAAACCTCCCTAACTCGAATTCTTTTTTCTAAAACCTCTGTAAGTCAAATTTTCTGAGGCCTTCTGGTTATTATTTCTGTGAAATGTGAGAGAGAAAATGATTAAAACAAATAATTTTATGCATATTGGAAATAAATTGAAAGACAAATATAGCAAATGAACCCTTGCCTCCAAGTTCAGCACAGTAAAAACTCATCAAGAGGCAAGTTTAGGTTCAGAATCTCCTCATTTACAATTTCCTACAATTTTTTTTACTAATCCTCAAGGCAAGAATTATTTTTTCCTTAATTCAAACCCTGCAAAAATCAAAACCTCCCTAAGTCGAATTTTTTTCCTGGTCCCTAGAAATTTGACTTGCAGAGGTTCAACTGTATATATGTTTACATTTTATCCATTTTATTATCCATTTAATTACAGTACATTTTATTATAGATACACAGTACTTCGTGTATAAATAACTGACCTGCGTCTCGTTGAGCTGCAGGGTGGAGGCAATCTCGATCCGCCTTGCCCGCGTCAGATATTTGTTGAAGTGGAACTCCTTCTCCAGCTCCGTGAGCTGCTTCGTGGTGAAATTCGTGCGGCCCGAGTTGTTCACGCCGCCGCCCGGCTGCCCGGACACGAACCCGAAATCCACGGGCTTTGGTGCTGCAACGATGTACATTCAACGAGAAGAAGGAAGTCGTCATTATTCAGAAGAACTTTCATCATCATTTCCAACTCCCATCCATTAACTGCGATCGAGTATATGGATAATTCAGTTTCTTTTTTCTTTTTCATTAGGAAACATGCGCGAATAATTTTACGTGAGTTGATTCATTTGCCTGCTTTTGGACTGACGAAGAATCCGGACTGATGATGTACGTCATCGCGAAGTTTTGCAGGAATGTGAATGAAATTGTTTCGGGTGATGTGCCGAATGGTTTTTCCATCAGTTTTGTATTAAAGTTATCGAAAATATCCGGGTTTCCGGTATATATTCAATTATTTAGACAAAGATATTCCGGTCAATATTCCAGATCATCGGAGCTCTGTATAGTTGATTTTGATTCAAGTCTTCAAACACACATGTCATATTTTAACCAGGATTTTTCTTGTTATTGAATGCTGAAACTCAATAAAAAAACATTTCTAGCAATAAGACGCTTTACAAATCCAAATGTAAGTCTGTCGAAATTGGTTTTCTGCCTTGAAAATCAAAAGCTGCCACATAAAGGATTTTTGAGCAGCCCACTTTATTAATGAAATCCACTTCACGTTTCAAACTATTTTTCAACGCAGGAACATCTGAGGAATTGCAGCGCATTAAAACCGTTTTCATCCGAAATTTTGACAAACCCGTAAGCAAGTGTTGAAAAAATTGTCAGCTTAGGAAGCTGCCCCATTACTAGCTAGAAAAATATCCATGATAATTCTTTGCGCGATTGATTAAAATATAGTACATTTCTGTACTATGCTCCATCATTTCCTTCAGCAAATGAATGCATCGCACGAATGATTCTTAAATGAATCGTTGTAGAAGTTCTGAAACAAACTTTGAAAAAAATCACTAAAATTATTCAGTACATCATGAAATGTGAGATCTCCCGTAAAAATTAATTTCATGGAATATTTCAGATGTTCGAACAAATATTTCACAAATTTGTTCTAACAAAATAATGCCCTCGTTGTTTGATTTTCTGAAGAGCGTCAAAATAAATTACGAAGACACGAAGAAGTATACTCGTCAGTTTAAATCTTTAGACCTTCACATGAAGGCGATTCCTTTGAACAGCATGCAGGGGATTCATAAAAAATAGATTCTCGCATTCTTCCATTTTATGAAGAAAAAAAGAACACCTCGACATTCTGGATTAACTGTTGCATCCCTAAAAATATTTTCTTTTTGCCTCAACAGCTGGATTGCGTATTTTAACATGCTGGTCACGACCTGTACCAATGGCAATCAGACGCCTCCATACTGCATGCACGAACTCCATGTAATATACTCCGATGTACGTACGTATATACGAACCCCAACGGGCCACAGACCACAAAGTATACGTACGTACGGACGTATACACTCAGGGTTCTTGCGTCTTGAGGCCCAATAAACAAGAACAAACTCCCCTTCGGAATGGGAATCAATAGCAGGCAAGAACCGCGCCGCCATCTTTGGGTTCCATTGGTAATAACACGCCCGGCGGGAAATAGAATCAAGCCGCGGCCCCCAGACGCACCGAATAATCATACGTCTTCCCCATAATCCCCACGTCTGACCGCGGGCCAGCTGATGAAGGGGGCCCCCCATTTATTTATTTCTTGTTTTATTTTTCAAGAGAGTAAGAGAGAACAGAGAAGCAAAAAATAAAAAATAAGGGACTCTTCATGAAGTTTCGCATTTCACGGGGCACTGAAGATTAGTCAAAAGCCGTCAATTGGTCTTGTGATGGGTCTATATAGCGAGTATATGTCTGCACGTTTTATATATTTTATTTATTTTTTAAAAGAGGATCTCAAGAGATTCTTGGAGGCGGTCAAGTGGTTTGCTGAAATGAACGGTTCTTTAAATTTTCACCGAGTTGCTTCCGAAAATTCAAGACACACTGCGAGATGAATTTCCTCGAATTGAAGTACAACACGGTATATAAATAATAATTATATTCGAATCTTATCCAGTAATATCGATTTAATAGAAAATTTTCAAGGTGGTTTCTTGTGTCTGTGTTGCTTATACGAAGTATATTTGGCAGGAAAATAATACGCCACAGCATTTAAAATAAGATGCATCATAAAAAAAAAAACCTCGAAAACTTCGCATTAAATTTGCAATGACCATTCATGTGAGCATATGTACTCTGGGATAAATGTACAATATATCTAAGTTATGTAACGAGGGCACGGTAGTCCTAAGCAGTTTATTTTATGAAGAAGAGGCATGAATAAATGGCAAGAAAAAGAACATGTAATTCGTCAACCGTGCAGAATTTTTGTTTTAATTTTAATTTAGCAAACACGCTTCCATCATCGCTGGATCAAACAAAACCCAGTCTGTTCGTCCATGAATGCTCGATAATTCGAAAATATCCTTTCCTCTCTCAAAATTCCAGATTTCTTTTCGAAAAGTACTTTAGTCTCATACCTATAAGACGAAAGTACTTGTCGAAAAAATCGCGCTCGTGTTTACTAAAAAATCAGATTTAAAATTACAAGACTCTGGTTCTTCCCGAATGATCACATAAAACGCGAGTTTACTCAAAACGCTGGTTTATTAAACAGATTTACAAAACACTGCCCGCATAATTTAATTCACGTACTCCAAAAAAAAATTTCATTTATTGTGGATGTGCAAGTTTTGCTCACTTTAAAAATAAAAAAACGCTTTTCATCTCCCAAGATTTTCATCAAGTAAATGAACAGTAAAACTACTATTTTCCACTGCATGCTTTTCTATATAAGCAGATCCGATTCGCACACAATAATTGTGTGCAAAATCTCAACAATCACCAGCGTTCATATATGCTGGCAAATTTGTTCGCATGGCAAGTGTCGAGGAATTCCCGATGAGCATGAAACCCAGGATTACATGTAAGAAGAAGAAGAAGAAGAAGGAATAAAAACATGGTCCCCCAGCTATAGGGAAAATTCTACCGGTTAAAGCGAAAGAGGGGGGCATAAAAGGCGGTCCGGATGCGGGGCCAAGGAACAGACGGAAACTCCGCAGAGAGGCGAGAAGGGTGGAACTTCCCCCCCCCCCCCCTCACTTGCGCATTTCTCGCGGCCAAACAAAACACGCACACAACAATGCGGCGTGATTTCGGGAACGGTGCCCCGAGGGGCTCGTCAAGCGTGACGGACTAACAACAGAGTCTCTCTCTCTCTCTCTCCGGCGGATCTCTCTGGCTTTTTCTGTGGTCCTCACATATACAAAACTCTGTCCTCATATTCTTGCCCCCAATCAGCACTCAATTCGGATGTGGGAAACGAATTCACTTTCAGNACGGACTAACAACAGAGTCTCTCTCTCTCTCTCTCCGGCGGATCTCTCTGGCTTTTTCTGTGGTCCTCACATATACAAAACTCTGTCCTCATATTCTTGCCCCCAATCAGCACTCAATTCGGATGTGGGAAACGAATTCACTTTCAGCCAGAAATAATAATAAAAAAAAAATACTAGAATGTTACGGCTTAAATGGAGATGAAAAAAAATTCACTGACTCAGTTTGTCTTTCCACATATCAAGGTTAAATTTTTCCGCGAGGAGAAAATTTACCTTCAGGCACGGTGTAAATTATTTCGGAAAACTCGAAAAAAAAAACCTGTGGATTTCAAATTTCAGGCGGAAAACTACTGTACAGTACATTTTGTCTTTCCCATGCCTGGATTCGGCACTCAATTTTAAGGGTAAAAAAGTTAACCCCTCTGGTACGAAGAACTCCAGGCTATCCCCGATTAAATGAAGTCTCCGAATTTTTCAACCTCCGAGCCAATTAACTTTCATTTCTTGAACAAATTACTTTTCGGTAGAAAAATTTTCGGAAAAATTGGAAAAGCGGTGATGCTAAAATTCGCAAGGAAAATTTCTCCATGACATATTGAGAGAATTCCGTTAAAAAATTAGTCCACATTTTTTGGGAAAACAAAAAAAAATTATAAGAAGTCCGAAGATCGTTGCATGGACACAGAAATCAGCTTCGAAAATGAAGTGTTTCTCTCTGAAAACCGTTTACCGAAGGATTTATCAGCATATAGAGTAAATCCTCTCGGAAAATAAGGAATGCATATTGGTTCTCGCTAAGTTATGATGATCAAAAATAGACAGAGACTAATTCATCTCATTTGTATATAAAGCTCAAAACATGATGTTGAAGTTCAGACGGAAAATATTGTTTGAAAAAGAAACGGAGTCAACTTCAATAGGGAATTATTTTATATAAAAAATCTAGCTGCCATTTTCCTGCTAATTGCTCAGAAAACATTTCTTGAGAAATGAAAATGAGCAAACGGGCTACATGAACAAAAACCAGACCGGAAATGTCCGAATTGAAATCAGTTTTTGGCACACAAAAAAAGCTAGCTGAAAATCCAAAACTGGTAAAGTCAGAATTAAAATGGGATTTATTATTAATTTTTGCTCCCATTCCAAAACTATAAATGTCGGAGTTTGAATTGAAACATCCTGGCAATAACGCTCTGTAAAGTTCTATAAATTCAGCAGGAATCAGTCGGCTGATTTTCGATTTCTTAAACAAGAGCTCCTCTGGATAAATAATTAGAAAAAAGAAACATTCAATTCAATTATGGATGGTTAAAATCATCAAGCGAGCGCGAAATCGTGTTCAATTTTCGGTACGAGCTTCAACAGCGGCAAAACCCTCCCGTTCATTCATCTTCAATCAACCTAATTTACTTGTCGTAATTCTCGGGCGGTGGAAACCGCAGTCAATTTGTCAAAACAAGCAGTCCGTTTCCCGGTCGCGGTACGAAATTTCCAAAATGCACCGAAAACCTGCAAGTCTGAAAAATTGACAAGCATCGAGCCGGAATTATATGCGTCTCTCTCAGTCACAAAATAACCAGACGTTCTCGACGATACTCCGCGCCTCTCTAATTATCATCATTCGTGATCAGGTCGAGAAAGGGGGGGGGGGGGGGGGGGGGGGAAGCAGAAAACACGACGACACC